TCGATAAACAGTTGAGTTCGGCTGCATATGTACTTTTAAAGATTTCACAAAAATAGCTAAAGTTTTGGATTCTTTTATGTTTTGTTGCAGCCCGTTCCATTTAGCGATAGTAGAAGGAAAGAAGCTTTTATCGAATATTTCGCTTGAGTCTTGACATATATTTGTCCTGAGTTTGACATTTTCCTAACTCTTTCTGAATTTTCCTGAATTTTTTTCGATGAGCTCCACAATCAAGGCTTTTTACAAATGTTTGTGGATTCTATCGAGCTTTCTTGGATTTTTTTCGAATTTTCTCGTACTCTCTTGGACTTCACTAGTTTCTCTGGCCTCTCTGAGTGTCTCAAAGTGATTCTACATTTCTGTAACCTAACAGTCTCAAAATACCAGAAATGTTTATCGAGCACGCCTCCCATTCAGAAAAATTTACGTTGAACTGTACGCAAACACTTTTCGCATGCAGAAAAATGTACCCCAGCGGAAGATCTTAACACATACACACACACACACGCGCAACCAGTTGGTCCTAAATCCTTACCAAAAAGCTAACCAGGTGCATGATTAAGGCCGTCGTAAACGACGGCATATTACAGCATACATTGGCAGGTGCCGCAGTTACGACGTCGTGTTAAGGTATACCCATACAGTATACCTCAAGATTCGAACTATAGTTTTTTTTCAAAAGCAAATTTTATGGCTGGTTTTTGCCGCGCGACAAATTGTCCGTAAATAGGCGGTAGTGTTCTTCAGTATTTTTTCAATTGGAATGTATTCTCTTCGATGCCTCCTCAAAACGATAAATACTAATTACAGTTTTTCTCTGCATGGAAGTGTTGAGAAATTCAATAGTTAGAATGTGGAAAAATGCCAAAATGAATTGAATGTTGACAATTTCGTTCTTTTTAGCTCATTTCAAAAAAATCGATAGTTGTCCAGCAAACTAATCAAAATTCACTTTTACCAAAGCGAAATTAATTTTTTAGAACCCAAATGTAGCAATAAGTGTTTGAAAATAGTTTATGAATGACGAAATTGTCAACATTCAATTCATTTTGGCATTTTTCCACCTCCTAACTATTGAATTTCTCAACACTTCCATGCAGAGAAAAACTGTAATTAGTATCTATCGTTCTGAAGAGGCATCGGAGAGAATACATTCGAATTAAAAAAATACTGAAGAACACTACCACCTATTTACAGACAATTTGTCTCGAGGCAAAACCAACCATAATATTTGCTTTTGAAAAATGGAGTGATAACGGTTTATTAGATACTTTTAACTAGGGTTTCAATACTATGTAGAGTGCAGGTTTTCTGTTTTGTAATTGCCATTTAAAACATCATAAAAAAAGTTTTGGAATATTTTTCGTAAAAATCAAACTCCAACTCCGAAAAAAGGCTTCCTTCCTTGTGCCACGGGAAGCGGCGGGGCAGGAGGGAATGAACCTTCAAAGATCTTTTTGTATACTATTCTTTGTAGGTGATGAAATGTGGTGTGTTGAATTAGCATCAAGTGAAGAAGAAAATGCACGAAGTGTAGAATTAACAAATTATTTAAAGCAACAAGTAGGTGAAATATGTGATCTATGGACATTGGGCGATTTTCTAATGAAAATGGGCGAATATAAACACGCTGAAATCTATTATAAATTGTTAGAGAAGAATGTTAAATTAGACGAACATCGTGCTCAAATCTATAATCGTCTGGGTATTATTCGTCGAGAACAAGGTGAAATGCGGTTAGCAATCGAATATTTTGAAAAAGCTGTAGATATTGCCCCACAAGAGAGCGAGGTACACACTGCTGCTTCTTATAACAGTCAAACGATAAAAATCGACGGAAAACAGTTGCCAAAACTGTTTTTAAATAAAGCTCTAAAATCAGTCGATATCATAACAAAATCTTTATCAGCAACTAATATATCTGCACCAATATTGTGCCATAATATCGGACATAATGCATACCAAAGCCGAGATTATGATTTAGCTAATGAGCATTATCAACAGGCTCTGAATATTATGATGGAATCAGAATTAACTTATCTTTTGGAAATTTCAGTTGTTCAGAATAATTTAGGCGCCGTCGAATATGCTAAACAAAAATACACCGAAGCAAATACATATTTTGACATGGCTACATCGACATTACAACAACTAACTTTAAAACATCCATGGATACTTGAATATGTTGAAAATTCAGCAACTGCACTACGTAAGATTAATGCGTGCACTCAAAGATCAGTGATTTGCCAACAAACAAGAAGAAATACCGATAGACTCGTGACGCGTAAGTTGACAAAGAGAAAATTGGATGATGTCGACTCAATTGAACAGTAAGGAATATTATTCGAAGATACCTAACAAAAGATTGGAATATTGAATGAATTCTGCACATGTCATCCTAAAGAACTCACACGTACAGCTGTCAAAAAAGGGATCAGTCAACTCTTGATTTCACTTAAACTTTTAAGCACGAAATTGTTGATATTTTGTAACCTCTGTAGTTGAAGCAAGTAAACCATCCAACCCACCATAATTAGAGAATTTTTAGAGATTTTGTTCAGAAAATTGCTATAAAATAACCTAAGCTGTATATAATACGAATGGTTTTTACTGCATGACCTCTGCCTGACTTAAGTTTTTTTTAAGAAACACACTTAAATCAAAACTGAAGTTAGACTTAAGGGTCCCCCTCCTCAGAAAAAATTTTTTTTATATAAAAAATCAATTTGGAGGCCAGCACATGGAAAGATGGCCTGGAGTGTCTACTTTCAGAATCTGTATCGCTTTCGGATCTAGAACTGAGTTTTCGTAGTTTTCAAGCAAGTTTGCTAGAGGTCTTGAAAACCAGGGTCTTCAAATAATAATTTTTTTCTGGATATTTAAGCAGGTGAATTTTTTTGTGAACACGGAGATTTGTAGAGCAGACTTTTCTGATCAAAACAAGATATTATACAACTCTGTGGGATCTTGCGTTCAAAAATTACAAGCATTTTCTTACATGTCCTAAAATAGAC